TAACTATCCGAGGCGACAAACCCTTCTAATCACAAAAGTGATATCTAGCGACCGCAGTTATTTTCATGTGCGCAAGAGTTATAACAGGTTACTACCACTTTCGTGTTACTATCCACGAAACAAGGCTGACGTGGGCAGAGTTGCCTGTCAATATGTCGCACCGACTGTTACCGAATTAAGAAAATACGCCCCGAATGCCATTCCCCCTACCCTAAGCTGTCAAAATGTGTTGAGCAGCGGAGCGACAGATCAAATTCACTGCTGAGGCCCTGCTGATATGCGCCCTACGTGGGACATCGTGGGGTGTTTTATAGTTTTCTTTCCTAGATGGGTTGCAAACCAATCTTTAAAGACTTCTTCGGATTTAGTCATCGAAGTACGTCTTTACGACACCTTCATCCCCCTTTAGGCTTGGAACTATTCGTATTCAGAACTCGACACAACAAGAAAATGAATAACATACTGTACTACAAGTTATCTTGTAGTACAGTATGTTATTCATTTTCTTAAATATTCATATTTCTAAATGAACACTTCAAATAAATAATTCAGATAACACTTTGATATTTTAATGTATGTTAAAAATGTATTTTGACGTAAACGAGATAAGTTAAAATTATCTAAATCAGGCCTTATTCAGGCGATTGCCATGAAATCACGCCATACAAATGTTATGTCACATTAAAGTCTTAAAATAATCTATCCGTCTTAATTTATTATCAACACCAGCGATGTACGTGAAAATTCAATTAATGCATTTCTGTTAGATTACACAAATTTTTATTTTTGTAAGATAAAGCCCTTTTGAAATGTCATAAACTTTTCGTTTTTTTTGTACCGTATGAGATATTTTGTGTTTTTTTTATGTTTTTTATGTACCGTATGAGATATTTTGTGTTTTTTTTATGTTTTTATGTACTGTATGAGATATTTTGAAAATCAAATATTATTTTTGTTTTTGTTGTGTATATTTGTGTTCTGTTAATAAAAAATTGTGTAATCTAACAGAAGTTTATTAATTGAATTTTAACGTACATCGCTGGTGTTGATAACATAAAGACGGATAGATTATTTTAAGACTTTAATGTGACATGGCATTTGTATGGCGTGATTTCATGGCAATCGCCTGAATAAGGCCTGATTTAGATAATTTTAATTTATCTCGTTTACGTCAAAATACATTTTTAACATACATTAAAATATCTAACCGTATTCTTATTTTTTATCTTGCAGTACAGTTTGTTATTCATTTTCTTACTGTATCGAGTTCTGAATAATAATAGTTCCAACCCTGAAGGTGTCGTATCTGTCGACTTAGCCCGAAGAAGACTTTAAAGATTTTTTTGTAACCCACCTAGGAAGGAAAACTATAACACACCACGATGTCCCACCTAAGGCGCATATCAGCAGGGCCTCAGCAGTTTTTTTTTTTAAATAAACATTGCCCTGACTTTAGGATAACATTGTAAGGACGTTTTATAAACATAAATTTCACCTGGACAAACACACAGATGCGAAACAACTATCTGTGCGTCGCACAAATAGTTATCCCGTGTGGGAATCTATCTCTAAGAAACAATATAAAAATAAACCTCGCCAATCATGCAACAAGGAATGTCCGAAGTATGACACAAGCCTCCCGGTCTCTTGTTGGAGGTTTTGGTAGCGCACAGGATACAAATCTCCTATGATCGCAAATAGCAGAGTTAAGCAGGCTAATATATATATATATATATATATATATATATATATATATATATATATATATATAACTTGCAAGAAATTACCAAAAAAGATAAACGTTTTGCGGTCTGCTCAAATATTGCAAATATCGCAAGAAAAGTCATTCATCTTATCCATTATATCATTATTGAAGTAGTAATATCAAATAAAAGTAAAGTAATAATTGGTTCGAAATATTTTTTGTTATTATTTCCAAAAAAATCCAAGTTTCCTCAAGATTTTTTCCTGCTTTTTGCCTTAGTGCTCTTGAGCACGTGATACGCCAGCACTTAAAAACAATTGCATTGGTGACGGCACTGGGGTTCGAACTCAGGTTGCTCGAGTATGTTGAAATTAAAGCGAGCGATCGGCCAATGAGCTATCACGATTCTATATATATGTATGTGGAATAAAATAAGAAAAACGTTATGATTGAGTTAACCTGTTCTATTAAGCTATTAAGGCAATGAACGTGTGACAATTTACGATGACTGGCTTGAGACAGGCCCCGTCTTCCTTAAAAAGAATCCTATGTCCTTTTTAATACCTCTAATAATATGTGTACAAAGATTGACGATAATCGGTTGAGTACTTTAGGCGTGTAAGCGTAACCAACAAACATAAAATATTAGTTGGGATAGTAGAGATTATCTATTACTATGATATGCTCAAGCACTCGGGTTTATTGCCAAGTAAGATCGTCAAAGGGAAATAAACAAGTTGTTGTGGAATGAAATAAAACTTATTAATTTAAATTAATCAAAAAAGGTACCTTTTTTTTTTTTTTTTATGCGAAAAGTTGTCAAACGAGCAGACGGTTCACCTGATGTTAAGTGAATACCGCCGCCCATGGACATCTGCTACACTCGAGGGTTACAGATGCGTTGACAACCTTTTGAAAATTGGGCTCCGGCTACCTCACTCACCAGACGAAACGCGAAAGTATTTGTCATACTTCCACTTTACGCCGGTCTTCTGTGAGGTCGTGGTACTTACCCGGACGGGCCTGCCCATTCGTGCAACAGCCGAGGCTGCTGCGTGGCCCTACCACCGTAAAACTACTTATACCTAAATATTTCTACTAAACAGTCTTATAACTAAATATTTTTTGGGTTTAAGTGAATGAAAAACGACACAATATCAATGTATAAATATGAGAAAATATTATCAGTTACACCAATAATTTTATTTTTTAATTCTACTACGGATTACCAAAATTAATATAATATAGGAAAACGTTACATTTCTACACACTATTCTTGTTTGCGGTTTAATAGCTTAGATTTATATTGTGCGTTAAGGGTCCTATTATACACATCACCAACAATCGCCATCCTGTCTGAAATGCTAATCGGCTTCAAAATATTAATGGTTAGAATATATTATAAGTACATAACATGTATGTATAATATGCCATTAACTACATACCATGTATGTATATTATTAAGCAAAGGTTGAAATAAACTGGAAGTGTTAATGTTTTTATGTGTTTAACACTCTAAATACGATAATAAGTAACTAATTAAAGATCAAATACGAAAGATAGGAAACTCTCGTCGTAAAAACGCAAGTAAAAGTGTAATGATTTCTACGTCTTAGAAAATCTCATAATATATAAATCGTACTATTAAATGTAGACTTTGTACTGATAACATTCTTCATGTTCTTGTATCTTGTATTGACTGATGTTTTTGCTTTCAGTCCCGAGACTATTAAAGCTCCATCTGACGCAGAACCGGTGGGCTAGCCAGAACCCACGGGTTTGGGCCCTCCGCTGTGGGTAGGGCCGCGCATGTGCTCATGCGTGCGTTTAACTATGGTGTGTCATCTAAGGGCCATCGAGATCGCGGTTCGGTCCGAAACCCCGATGGCCATGGACTGTGCAATTAGCTAATCGGTGGCTGGGGGCGGTGAGAACCGCCCCGGAACGCGGGTGTTCCTTGTGTACGCGTTGTGTTGGTCTCGCCGTGCTCGGAGGCGAGGGCGAACTAGTGTGTTTGTTGTTGCACTAACTGTGGGTGTAGTGTTATCCAGCGGGACCAGTTGTAGAGAAATGTACGTCCACGAACGCCCATCGTGCCGGCAACCAGGGCGGTGGGTCCGACGTATCTAAGTCCTCTTCCTCGACCGGGTCGATGAGGATGTTTCGCGGGCGACGCTTGTTGACGTTCGCGTTTGTGTCGGGTTGGTAATTTGCTGCGCTTACCACCAGAGGGTTGGGATTATGTTCGGCTCTATCGAAGAACCGTTTGGTCAGGTCTTTAAAATAATCGCGAATCGTCGAACCTGGTTATTATTCTGGATATTTTATTCAGGTAGTAAAATAGTAATTATATTCAAGCTCCAAGTTTTCACCCTAGATACATATATACTATATAAATTAGGTGTAGCTCCAGATAGATATCTCCAGGCCCTTATCCCTCCCTATCCATTGATTGCAACAAACAGGAAAGGTTACGTGTACATAGAGGCAGATTGCCCGAAGTACAACCACTGGTACATCTGCGGCGAGAAGATGGACCACCAGCTTCGACAGCAACCGGACTCCATACAAGAACTTATCCTTAATCAATCTCTGAAAGGAAACTGCTAAATGACCACAGTAACCCTCTCAAGAATATCCTTAGAAGAATTCGACGAAAAGCACTATGTAGTATCATTCCCAAATGCTACCAAAATACATACGCAGTGCGGACGCGAAGACTACACCATCCTAAATGGCACTTACCTTGCTACCGTTCCTGTTAACTGTTTCCTGTATACCACGGAGTTTACCATTGCTAACATCAATGATCGAGTGGAAGGAGAAACCATGAAGATAATGAAGCTCCCCCATGTCTTAAATACTCCCTCGGGGAAATCACCTGAAATATATGGCGACGTCCATGGAAACGTCGCCAGTCGACACCGCTGCTTACCGTATTCAAGAACATTGTTTAACGATTTATGTTAGTAAGACAGTCATTCTTGATCTAGCATCGATCGGAGTCAGACTTAGGTTAGGCTAGCTAAAGTTTAAATTGTAAGTTCTAATAAATAAGTTAAAGAAAATTGTTTTTTTTTTTTTTTTTTTTTTTTGAGGCCTCCGACAGCGACTTCTATAATTATAATTCGCGCCTGTCAAGTATTATGTTTCGAATTATCGTTATAAGTCGTTATCTACGATTATATCAATAAATTAATAGGTAATTAATGCGATAAAGAAGAATTTTCGCGATATGTCGCTCTTATAAATACGCATAATTTCAGGGGTATTTTATTACTTTGCTAATCCAGCCATGAAGGTACTCGTGGTAGTATTGTCTCTCACTGCATGTAAGTAGACCACGATTTCAAATTATTTTAAACGAAAACGAAACATCAAAATTGTACCATCGATAGGCACTTAATTTCATATTAACTTTAATAAAAATACCGAAGAATGATAATGGTTCTTTGTCACTCAATTGATAAATAAATTTTACTTAGGGCTGCGTAAATACGATGTCCTATATATAATAATATGCATTCAAAAACGCACATTATTTTCTTTGTACTGTTATAGTACAAAAAAAATGTGTGTGTTTTTTTAATGTGAAAAGTTGCCAAGCGAGCAGACAGTTCACCTGATGTTAAGTGGAACTGTCTGCTCGCTTGGCTCGTAATACCGCCGCCCATGGAAATCTGTTACACCCGAGGGTTGCAGATGCGTTGACATCTTTTTGAAAATTAGGCTCCGGCCACCTCACTCACCAGATGAAACGCGTAAAGTATTATACTTCCACTTTACATTGGTCTTCTGTGAGGTCGTGGTACTTACCCGGACGAGCCTGCCCATTCGTGCAACAGCCGAGGCTGCTGCGTGGTCCTACAACCGTAAAATTACATGTGTATTTTACAGTGTGCTCGAGTGCACCATATGACAGTATCCCGGGGGACAATAGCGACTACATCGAAGGTGTAAGCCGCTACATATGGATACCTGATGGTGAAGGCGTTCCTCAACTGGTAGACCTTGAAGAACCAGTTGACACGGAACTCCTCAATAGTAGAAATGGTGCTAACAATCAATACTGGCTGTTTACCAGGTAAACATTATTTTCGGAAACGAAATAAATCAGTGGCCTTACTTCGAGTTTACTTCGAGATTAAACATTATTGATTAATACATATGTATATTTTACTAACGATAACACTTACAGAGCTTGAATATTTATTACTTCAATCTTTTCCAGGCGTAATCCCACCAGTGCTCAAATAATCCAAAACGGTAACGTTAATTCAATTCGCAATTCCAACTACAACGGTAACCGTCCATTGAAAGTCATTGTTCATGGTTGGAACAGCAACGGAAACTCGGAAGTAAACCCTCTGGTCAGAGACGCTTTCTTGGCAGTGCAAGATGTGAACGTAATCGTTGTTGACTGGCGAGCTCTGGCAAACTCTAACTACGTCACCGCCGCCAATGGAGTACCCGGTGTTGGACAGTTCCTCGGGAACTTCTTGATCTGGCTCCTCAACAATGGCGGTGGCAATTGGAATAACGTCCACCTGATAGGCTTTAGCTTGGGCGCGCACGTCGTCGGCAACGCTGGCCGTACCGCTGGAGGCAGGCCAAGACGTGTTACTGGTGAGTACTTTTCTGATTCAGTCTTCTGAAATATTTAGAACATATGACAATTAAGCAACTGATCCATCCGATGTTTTAGATTACCACCGTTCATGGTATCGTGTGTAAATTGCGTCACAGACCTATGTTTGGCATCACTCGTGGCAATGTCAAACTTTTGGTCCTCTGTTAGACCTTAGTACTTTTTTTCAACACTGGAAGCCACTGTGTGGCTTCATCGTGTTAAAGAAAATTTTAAATTTAATATTCTATCTGACCCTAAAACCGCAACGAAATCTAACCAAAACTCAATATACTGTACGCTATCAGATAAACATAATAATGAAATTTTCAGGTCTCGACCCAGCTGGACCTCGTTGGGGTGGTAACAACCAAGCCTTAAACCGCAACTCTGGAGTATACGTCGAGTGCATCCACACTGATGGTGGGCTCCTGGGTATTTTCGATCCAATCGGCGACACCGATTTCTACCCCAACGGTGGCAGGAATGCTCAACCCGGTTGCTGGATCAGCACTTGCTCCCACAGCCGTGCCTACCAGCTATACGCCTCCAGTGTGCGCACAAATCATTTTGTTGGCAGACGGTGCAATAACTTGAACCAAGCTCAGAACAACCAATGCTCAGGCGCTACACTAAACATGGGCAACGGAATCTTAAACAAATCTGGGTAAGTATTAATTTGCATTACCGTCTTAAATATACATTTCACTTGGTCTTGAATGATAGTCAGTACGTTGCACATTTATAGTGCTGGTATTTTTTATGGTTATAAAATAAGATGTTCAATATATACGATATAGTATTTACTTGATCAAATCTAAAAATGAATCAGATTGAAACAAATGTTTTTATAAGCAAAACGAAAGTAAATATTAACATTTTGTGCTTTTTTAAAACCTATCAACATTTTCACACTGTAAATATCAAAATAAGTGCAAGTACGATCTTAGTCTATTTCAACTTAAACAAAAAGACTGTCATACAATTAGTTTTTAGTACAGTTTTCAATTATAACCAATAAATATGGATAGTTAATTTTTTATTGACCATTTTATAACGAATTCACAAATTAAACTAAAAATTTATAATCTTCTTTACAGAACTGGTCTTTACGGCCTAAGGACCGGTGACAGATGGCCATTCTAAGGAACTTTTCAACAACAATATCGCAAAAATAAATATTTATTGAACAAACTATTTATCTTGTTTTTATTGACTATTCCCATCATCACGTTTACACATGACATGTAGCGATTCCTTGTTTAAAAATATAACAAATAGTAACTTACGGTGAATATATGCACAGAAGACTACTTATCAGGTCTATAGCAGGAAATGACCTATATGTATATTATACATACCAGTTTTGCTATATACCCGTTTTATGATTTATATTTTTACGGAATAATCTATCTTTTGAACTTTTCTTCATAAAAGTTTTATTAACTTTGCAGTGAATTTCATAAATATATAAATTGCGTATATTATTATTAAAGATTTTATCTTTACGCTGATTTAATTGATTTTAAAATTTATGACATGCCATCAGATTACAGATAATGCTGTCGTAATGCTTATTTTGTGTAATATCTTATTTCTGGTAAGTTTCGATTAGAACGTAGTGATAATATAACGTAGTACATATAACGTAGTAGATATAACGTAGTGATCACAATAAATGCTCTCGTTAATAGATACGGAACTTGATTTCCTGCGATGGATATATACAATTTTTTGATATACCTAACGGTACAATCGCGAACAATGTGTGAACGCCATGTAAAACTGGAATTCTAATGTTTTTAAGATCACTGGGCAGATATAGCACTTAACGTTCAAATAAGTCCAATTGATCCTCCAAATTTATTTAACACAATAGAACATCGCAATGTAGATATCCGAAGTAGAAAAAACATAACCAGACCCAGCTAAGAAGATTAGAACGCTGAAGTGGCAATGGCACCATATTCAAATTCAAATATCTTTCTTCAATATAGAAACATAACACTTAGTGTGGTGGGCAAGATAGGTTCTTGAGTGGCTGCCACCTAGCTATCGCAGTATAGCACGTGCACTAAATACGTTGTGGGTGGCAATTACTATAACAAAAAAATTTTTGTTCCAAATTCCATTTAAAAAAGTTCCTATCATTCTGACTTTAACAATTGTTATTAAACGTTTTTCGCTGAAAGTTTTAATCTGCTCGTAAAAAAATATTTTCAGTTTTTGTTGTATGGAATGAAACTGTACCTGTTAAAAATTCTTGACAGGTCTTGCTTTAAAACTACTTTATGCCTCTTCTTTGACTTGTACGTTATAACTACACTATCAGCGCGCACCAAAAATTGCCGATTCAAGAGTTATAAGATTCCTAAAATTTAAAAAAATATATTGTTTTTATTGATTTTATAATGTCGTGGATTATTAAATATTTGACTAAAATAATATGCTACTTGAAAATTCTATGAATAAATTAATAGATGTGTAGAATATGAAAAATAATAATAATAATATGAAATTTACTTTAAAGCCTTCGTTTATTCAATAGAAAATTATAAGTTAGTAATTTAAAAAGGATATTACACAGATAAAAACTGTAAATCATATACATAACATAACCTAAATTTAAACAAAGGGATCTACAAAAAACAAAATTTTCAAAATATAGCTTTCTTTACTTTAAAAAAAAAACAAATCAAGCCATTTTTTATAGACAAAAACGGCTTGTTGGTTGATTTGTAAACCATAGCGTAAACACAACAATCGGCGGCAACACTGCCAGAAGATTTTTTGGGGATGCTAAATAATTTTAACTGTCTTAGGGCCACGCAAAAGGGATCGCTGTTGCTCGTATGGCAGTATGCGTGAAGTAGAAGTGTTACACTTCTGCGTTGCGCCTGGTGAGAGAGGTAGCCGAGGTCTACTTTATACGGTTTTTCAAGTGTCCATGGGCGGCGATTGTCACTCAACATCGGGTGAAACGCCAGCCCGTTTGCCACTTTCTCACATAGAAAAAATAGGATTAGATTACTATCGGCCGGCAGTGCCCCTGCAAAGACTGCCAGCGGGAGTTCACTAGCCGAGTGGCCGAGTGGAGAGTTCGCTGTGGCCGAGGCAGGAATGGGTCAAGTGTACCACACACACACGCGCACCAGCTTTCCGTCCATATTTCAGTATCAACACCAAGTTTCCGGTTTATGGTGTCCAAAACGCAAAATAGCCAACGCATCTTGCTCTGACCCTGAGGAACCCTGCCATCAGGAAGAGAATCGTGCAGGTAGTGTCCTCAACTAGATATCGGAAAGAGCTCGATGTTGCTCTTTTTGGCGGGAGTCGCGACGGCTGGTTGATGATGTGGTATCGGATCAATTTCCACATGGTTAGTAGTGAAAGCTAGAAACCGTTCCCAGAAATCCCCAAGTAATGAACCCATGGTGAAATTGTCTTTGGGGTTAACACCGGTGGCGAGAAAAAATAATAAAGCCCCCTCACCTTAGGACGGGGCGTGTGTTTATGAAACTAACGCTACCTGCGTGCGCTTTAGTTGCGCTAGGATAAATACCTAGCAAGGCTGGCCTACGCGCGCAACCTTCCCCCCTGATAGCAAGCCCCGGGGCGGCAGATGTGGGACTAACTGCTGCCCCGCGGAGGGCTTGAGAGGGGTGCCGTGTTCATTGCACCGACACGGCACCATTTGGCTGGACCGGGTGTCCCTAACAACCGGGGAGAGGAGGCCTGAGAAGGCCACAGTCGCGCCGGGGTTCGCGGAAGATTGCGTTCTCGTGTTCCCGTGGCAAAGCGATAGCGCAGGTGCAACGTGGGTTTTTTAGTGTGTAACTCCCACATACCCCTGCTGCCTACCCACAAGGCAGCGGGGGATCCATAAAGGATTTTTCCCACGTAAAAAAAAAAAAAAAAAAAAAAATACTAAATCAAGCAATAAAAGGATGAATGGGAATGTGTACAAATATTAAAGGAAAATTAAACAAAACTTCGTTACAATGCTCTTAAAAATATTATTTAATTTTTTAATTTATATACAATTACAATTTTTATTAATTGAAATAATATAATATCAAGTGAAAAAACTTCCAATACAAAAATTAATTAAGTATTTATTGAAGGATATCGCGAGGACTTGGAATAAACATCTTTTCTAAGCAGCCTTTTACTTGCAACATTCAAAATCGACATTGCGATTTAAATTCCCAGAATACCGGACAAGTCCAAATCCGCCAATATTTTATTTCCGTACTCAAGCACAACCGTGCTAATGAGTTCATTAATTTCATCCTGTAAGCAGAAAAATTTTAACATTTTAACATAAATTAAAGCGTCGGATCATATTAAAGCACGTTGTTTCCGATATTTCCATCGTTTTCAGATTTATTTAAGAATTCTTCGAACAACATTATTTGAAAATAAACCAATTTGTTGAAAGCACTTAAAAGGTATCTACCTATATTTAATATTAAAGCTTGTGGATAAAATGGCGGATAATGAAACTGTGATTTTTTTTTTTTTCTATATAATAATATAATATAATAATATACTAACTCATCAAAGATTAAAATTTTCCTATACCAAAAAACGCAAGTGTTTTAGCTTATCCAAAAATAATTGTACTATTTATAAAAGAGCGTACATAAATATTGGTCCAGATGTAGGTATTTGGTTTGTCACATTTCTAGAAGTCGAATATTTTATTTATTTTAAAAGAAACGATTAACAACTGGTAGCATGATTTGACCGAAATAAAAAAAAGAGATGAATCAAAGTATTTCGTATTTTTTTAATTTATGTATCGTATTTTTTTATCCATAATTAAAAGTAACTGCTAACTAAAAGCAGTATTTCGAAATGTCTGAAAATATTTAATAAAATACCGAACGAAACAAAAATGGTGAGTTCGATTTCCATACTAATTTATTTTTTAAATGAAAGATAATAATAATTATGTATTGTTTGATATGTAACAAGACGTTTTCTTGTTTGGTGGGTTATAATATTTTTTATAAAGCTATAGTTAACTTAAAATCATAATTCTAATATTGTGAAAAATAAAGTTTTATATAAAGATACAAATAAACATTGCTTCAACAGAATTGATTTTACTTCCTCTTGACAGTTCCATTGTCTATTTCGCAAATAATATAGAGCGTCACCGGCGGGCTTTATCCTATTTCTCGTAGCGTATTTTGTTGTATTTCACAAACCAAACAAATATTTTGCGGTGGAAATTGTCTAACGTAAGGACGTATCATCTCAGCACCAACAGGACTGCAGTTATTTTGCCTATCATTGAGACGTTCGGCGACGGATAGACGACTATTAGGTTAGGTTAGGCTAGTTCTTGGATCGTATATCGTATTTGTAAAGTCAGCCTCTACTGTTGAAGGAATGGCCAGCCTCGTCCGGAAAAGTACAACAGCACAGAAGACCATCGAAAACGGTCAAACATGTGTTCTCATAAATCATTACCTATTCTAAGTAAAAACATAATTTTTTTTTTTTTATTATGAAATATATTATACATGAAAACGCATATTTCTTAAGAGAGACCATAGGCCATGGTTATAGTCTTCTCAAAAATTTGACAGACAAAATACTATATTTCAAATACATTTAAGGATTTTTTATTTATTTAGAGAACTTGAAATTTGACCATACCTCGAAAAATGTAAGCAACTCCTCAACAAGATTCTTAAGGAGGATACTTATGAAGTCGCTGATGACTGGATCATTGAACATACCAGTAATTCGGGGCTAAAACATTATTAAATGATTTAAATATTATAAACAAGAGTTTACTTAACTTAATGCGCTGGTTCTCGTATTTCTCCTTCGATTAAAGTATAAATCATCAAAGAGCTCGTTTACCGAGGGTACTTATTTAGTCTAGTCGCTAAATAAAAAACTGAAACGTTGAACCATAAATAATTGTTATGATAATTAATATGATGTACGTTTTAGTGGGGAGTCGATATCGATGAATGTCAAGGTAAGATTTTTAAATAGTTGATTTTTGAATATTTCATATGTTTAAATATTTTTAAAAAAAGCAACAAAACAAACATTAAAAATCCAGTTCAGAATTGTGCCTCTATTTTAACAAGGATTTATCATCGTGTCTTATGAGGGTT